TCTATCTTTCAGCGGCAGCTATAGATGGTTTATTGTGCAAAATGAAAGGTTTTGGTATTCAGCTGACAGAGAAAGTAGAAACCTCTTTGTTGACAGAAATAAAATGTGTCTTGTCATAGGTGTTGATATAACATATTAATCTCCCCTGCTGGGGAACATAGGCACCCTGGTGCGGTGTGCTATAAATATTGATGTGATCACCCCAAACTGGCAGGATGCCTAGGAAGCCATGAGAGGTTTAGATAAAGGATTTTCATAAAGGTGTGTTCAATTGCTTCCCACCCTTCTCTCCCCACCCTCTCCTTTGGAATCTACATAACTCCAACTAAGTCTTCCCTGTTGAGTCCCCAGACTGAAAACCATTCCAGGTGTTCTGTGGATAGTGCTGAATCCTCTCCCCTTTCTGAAACACAGCACCTAATCGTTTTATCTTTAACATTTGATACAGTTTTGACAGCTCTAGCAGCTTCCCCCAGCTGGCTGCCTATCTGGTGTAGTGAAAGGATGCCTGGCGTCAGCTGCTGGTGAGGAAGAAGCCAGGCCATTTTAGCTGCAGGAGCAGAATTTTATGCTGTGATGTTCTTTTCAGTTCAGGGGACACTTTCCAGTAATCAAGTTGACAGCCTTTCTTAAAGTCACATGCCAGTCAGAAAATTGTTCTGTTTCTGAAGATTGAGCAAATGCTGATGCTTACAGTGCCAAAAAGCCAGTTCTCTTGTGGCAGATTTGTTGTTTCACTGCTGTTTATTAATCTTCACCAACCACAAGACTGAAGGTCAAAATAGAGTGTCATCATGTAATCAGAAGTATACATTACTTCAGCGGACTACGTTGCAGATTACTTCTGCAATTATATACACATTTTTAATTCAAAATTATTAAGTACCCAATATATGTCAGGCACTGTTCTAAAAGTACGTTGATACAGGGATGAGCAAGTGGAGAAGACAGATGAGGTCCCTGCTTTCAGCTTGTCTTCTGATTACAGCAACTCCAAATAAACAAATAAAGAACATATCAGTTATAAAGACTATTTGTAACACTAAAATAGAACAGAAGAGTGGGTGGTTACTGTAGACCGGGGTCAGAAGTACTCTGAAGTGTAAGTTTTTAAAAGTTTTCAGAAGATTACCGATGAGAATGGTTTCAGGCAGCATGAATAGCTCACGCAAAGATTTTAATGAAGATTTAATGCGAGAATATTTTTGAGGAACAGGTGGAAGCCAAGTTTGGTTAATACTTTTGACTATTTTTAAATATTAAGTGATAATAAAGGCAAAGCTGATTTAGCGTATTTGGAAGGAGAATGAAAGAACCACAAAGAAATTGTGTGGCTGCAATTCTTTAGGAATATTTTTCAGAGAGTAACTTTAAGCCCTTCCGGCAGAGGTCTGGGAGACTAAGATTAAAAGCACATGGCAAGATCACCCAGTCTCATCCAAGATGAGGATGTTGTTGGGTAAGAGGCTCTATTTTGGGTCCCCTGCAGGAGTTTTACCTCAACAGGCTCTCTGAGGATCCTAGTTTGAACGAAAACCCATTTTCCTTGGAAAGCAATGACAATCCCCTTCTTTTGTATTTGCTCTTAGTGCTTGGCATAAAAGTTAATAAATGTTGAGTGTTCAGATTTTATAGATGATACCAGTGTGTAAGCAAATGTGAAAAATTTGATTCCCTACTTGGAAACCTAGAGTAACTGGAAAGCTCTGTAGAATGTCTTGTCCTGGTGGACACCATTTCTGCCACTCTGAAGCACTTGGAGAGATAGAAGTCTGTGACAGAAAAAGACAGATGATTCAGAATATCACTTAACATTGACCTAAACCTTTGTTTTTTGATATTTAGAAATGAATACTCTCTGAGGAATATCAATGAATTGCAGTGACTAGACTACTTTAATTCAACTTCCTTTTGTAATCTCATAAATACACTTACTCCAGAAGAGCTGAAGATGTTTTGTAATGTAGAGTAGAACATGCCTCAGATTATTATCTTAAGGACATATACTTTCAAAAAGTAGGACATATTGACTAAATTTATGTGACTTTATTTATATACGGGAGATTTTGTTTGGAACAAATTTAGGGGGTTGTTTTCTTCTGAACCTAAACTATCACATTCCCCCAAAATTTCTGCAGGGAGTATGATGGTTAAATTGGTGAAAGTTCTTTTCAGAAATGGTCTGGGAAATGCAATTAGGTTTTGTTAGGTGGAGAAGTAACTCAGGAAATTTTCTCTATTCAAGGTTTGATAATGGTGGCTAAAAAAATGTTCTTACATTTAAATGACAATTGACAGCTTAAGAAAGACAGGTTGGATCCCTGTGCTGATCTTCAGAAACTTAAAGTTAGAGATCAAATAATTCTGACTGAAAGCCATATTAAAGAGCCTGGCTAATGTGAGAAATAGATTATAGAGTCTGATCACAGGCTTTATTCAGAAATTGGATTTCATAGATACAATATGAATTGCACAAAGCAATCTATCCAACAGGGGAAGGACTTGATGGTACTTAGAGATGTCATTTAGAAGAGTTTGAAAATATTTGGTATTTTAGTTTATTTTAAGTGACAGATGAATGGAAGTAAGCTAAATATTTGATATCAAGGACTTTTTAAATACAATAAAAATTATATGAAATTATTTAAAAATCTTTAAGAACTGTGGCAAAACTATAGGACTTTAAAATCAATCCTATTCTTTGCAACACTTACTGCTTTTGTTCTTGATTGGTGAGGCAGTAAACATTTGTGAATATGTCTGATCTCTGCTGAATTTTGATTGAAAAAAAAGAATGTGCATTTTGATACTTATAACCTCTTTTTTTCTTGGGCCTTCTGACCCTTACAAAATAGAACTGTCAATTGAATTAACTTTTTTTAATTGAATACTTTCTTGTGCAAGGGACTGTACTTGAAGAAACATGACAAAATGAGTACAACAAGGTCTCTGCCCTCCAGTTGTTTAATCTACAGACAGAGAAATCTTTCTATTGCCTGTTGGTTATTACCATCCAGAATTTCTACATAACCTTAAATTTAACATATGAAAGACTAGATTGGACACCTCTTTCTTTATAATTCTCACCTTAGTTAATGTCAGTGGTGCCTCAAGTTGTCTCCCAAGCCTGAAATACAGAAGTCATTCATTTTTTTTTTAATTATTATACTTTAAGTTCTAGGGTACATGTGCACAACGTGCAGGTTTGTTACATATGTATACATGTGCCATGTTGGTGTGCTGCACCCATTAACTCATCATTTACATTAGATATGTCTCCTAATGCTCTCCCTCCCACCTTCCCCCACCCCATGACAGGCCCCGGTGTGTGATGTTCCCCTTCCTGTGTCCAGGTGCTCTCATTGATCAATTCCCACCTATGAATGAGAACATGCAGTGTTTGGTTTTCTGTCCTTGCAATAGTTTGCTGAGACTGATGGTTTCCAGCTTCATCCATGTCCTTACAAAGGACATGAATGCATCCTTCTTTATGGCTGCATAGTATTCCATGGTGTATGTGTGCCACATTTTCTTAATCCAACCTATCATTGATGGGCGTTTGGGTTGGTTCCAAGTCTTTGCTATTGCGAATAGTGCCGGAATAAACATATGTGTGCATGTGTCTTTATAGTAGCATGATTTATAATCCTTTGGGTATATACCCAGTAATGGGATGGCTGGGTCAAATGGTATTTCTAGTTCTAGATCCTTGAGGAATCACCACTGTCTTCCACAGTGGTTGAATTAGAAGTTATTCTTGAAGCATCGCTTCATGTACTCCTCACATGCAATCAATCAAGTTATCTTAAATCGATCTCCTCAATGTCTAAAACCTGAGTTTTAATTCTCATGTCAGAGGTCATAGTTACTGTTCCTGAATTAGTTTAATAGTTCCTTAAATAACTTCTGTGCATATGTATATCAGCATAAAGTTATCAATTAGCTTTTCTTGAAACGACTCTCTTTTATAATGAGGGTTTTATCTATATTAACTTTCTGTTGTTTATTTTAAAAATAATGCTTGATTATGGCGAAAATTTAAATAGGAATCCAAATAACACAAATTACTATAATTTACTGAATATTTATTATGTCCTATGTGGTATTCTTAGGACTTTAAGCATATTCTTTCACTTATTCTCACAATAACCCTATCAGGTAAATACTATTAATATCTGTATTTTAGCATTAAGCAAACAGTGTTTAAAGGTTTATTACTTTTATATGTTAAAATATATTGCATTTTCATAAAAATAGAGATTTCATTTTATTTTTCTTAGCTAAGTAAAACATTTGACTGATCCAGGCTATTTTTAATAGATGGACTGATTGAATGTTTACTGAAATACAAAATCAGATAATGTCTTTGATAATGGTTTGCCTTTGATAGATCTTTTTTTTTTTTATTTGGGTAGGTCTGTCACTTACAAAGATACTGTGATGACAGTTTATACAATGTTTTATTGCGCAATCTGCCACATTGCGCAAACACTGAACTTCATGTTTTTGTTCAATAAATGAGGCTTGAAGACTAGTTGATATGCTATTAACAGATCAGGAGTGATGAGGACTCAGTGAGAGGAAACCATCTGAAAAGCAGAGGTCAGGAGTTACAAGCCCATAGAGATAAAGTGACCAGAATTTGGTGTTCAAATGAACCATCCAAGAGAACTCTAGATCTGTAAGAGCAGCTGGAGAAACAGTGACTTTGCAATATTACAAAGACGGCAATTCTGGCAGAGATCCCGGGTTGATGGATGATTTGGATGTTTGATTCTAATAATACAGTAGTTTCATCTGTTTGTTAAATTTTTAAATGATTATTCTTCCTCTTGAGTAATTAATGCAAGTTTCTCCTATTTCCATAGTACTTTCTATATCATTTCCAGTCTCCATTTCACTATCATATCTATTAAAGGAAAGGCTCTCATGAAAGCAATTTAGACTAACATGCTTTTTCTTATGGGGCATTATATATATATATATAGAGAGAGAGAGAGACAGTAACAGGCTGAATTCACTTTATTTTTCTTGTATAAAAACCCTATGTTGTAGCCACAGCTGGAGCCTGGGTCCGCTGCACGGAGACCCTGGTGTGGGTCTTGACAAGGTGGTCAGTGAATTCCTGATAGGGAGACTTGGTAAATACAGTCTCCTTCCAGAGGTCAGGGGTCAGGTAGCTGTAGGTCTTAGAGATGGCATCAAAAGTGGCCTTGGCTGCACAACAAAAGAACCCCAGGAGGGTCAGTGGTGTGCTTGAGGCAAGTCTCCCAACCCCAAAATTGTCGCACTCCTAGGAACAGAGAGGCCATTCTGGGCGGGTCTGTCGTGTATTAGGAGAGCCTTTCTCTGCCTCCGTGAAAACACGCCAAGCACACACCGGACCTGTGTGGTTAAGCGGAACTGAGAGACCATGGCTATGCCCCATTCCTGGACCACCTACCAAAGTTGCCCAGGGTGGCAGTGCAGCCCCAGGCTGAGGTGTAGCAGTCATCGATACCAGCCATCATGAGCAGCTTCTTGGGCACAGGCGCTGAGACGATGCCAGTGCCCCAGTGGCCTGTCACCTTGCAAGGGACGGTGTGGGCCTTGCCGATCTTGTTCCCCCAGTAGCCTCTGCGAATGGGGACAATGGAGAGTTTGGCCAGGATGATGGACCCACGGATGGTGGTGGCCACCTCTTTGGAGCACTTAACACCCAGGCCAACGTGGCCATTGCAGTCCCCGATAGCAACAAACACCTTGAACCTGGTGCTCTGGCTAGCACGGGTCTGCTTCTGCACCGGCATAATCTTCCAAACCTCGTCTTTGAGAGAGGCCCCCAAGAAAAAAGTCAATGATCTCAGATTCCTTAATGGGCAGGGGGAAGAGGTAGATCTCCTCCAGGGACTTGATCTTCATGTCCTTGACCAAGAGGCCCAGCTTGGTGACGGGCATCCACTCCTTATCCTGGGCCTTGCCTCCGCGAGCTCCGCCGCCTCGGCCCAGCCCGGTCCATGGCCGCAACCCCGGCCCCGGATGCCACTGCCGAAACCTCCGCAGAAGCCACCGGGGTTCCCCATCCCAGGAACACCAGGGCCTCCGGGACCCCCGACTGCACCGGCGTCATCCGCCATTTGGTGTTTTCTCAGAAAAGAAGGCGGCATTTATATTTTAAATCTACTTTTTGATTATGAAATTGTATTGTGTAAACAACAAATTAATACAAACTTAATGTCTTGAAACAAGAAAATTTAGAGTTTTTTACATTAGAAGTCTGGGTGCAGTTTAACTGGGTTCTCTGCTTAGAGTATGACAAGCTGCAATGCAGGTGTTGTCTGGGGCTGGGTTCTCATCTGGAGGCTCACCCAGGGGAAGGTCCACTGCCCTCTCACATAGTTGTTGGCAACATTCGGTTCCCTGTGATTTTACACTTCATGATAGTTTGCTTTTTCAAAGCTAGCAAGGGGACAGAAAGAGAATAGAGAAAGTTTGCCAGTAAGAGTAAATACTATACAATGTAACATAATCATGAGTAAAGGCTATCACCTTTACCACATTCTGTTGGTTAGAAGCAAAGCACAGGTACTGCTCACATTCAAGGGAAGGAAATTCATAAGGATGTCAACAGCACAAAGCAGAGATCATAGGACTGTGATCATTTTTAAATTAAATTAAATTAAAATTGTTTTAATGTGTTTTAGGGATGGAGTCTCACTCTGTTGCCCAGGCTAAAGTGCAATAATATGATCATAGTTCTTTGTAACCTCAAACTCCAGGGCTCAAGCGATCCTCCTGCCTAAGCGTCCTGAGTGTTTGTGAGTAGAGATGCACACCATCGTATTGATCTTAAAATCTGCTTGCCACAGGATTAGAATTGGCTCTGGTTAACAACACACTGTAATTTTATTTTATTTTTTCTTTTTCAGGTCTCCTCTAAAATCAGTATATTAATTTTGATTAATGAAGATTTAATGTTATCTACTTTCTGTTATTCTAATAACAGCAAAATATAGCCTGCCATGATATGGTTATTTTTTCTATTTGCTCTTCTAATTTACATATTAGTTCCAAGTATGGTAAAAATAAAACAACAATAATAACAGCAGTCTAGTAAACCAGAGCCAATAGTAGTAAAAAACCAAGTAAACAAACAGAACAGAATAATGAAGATGTAATAATGTAAACCTAACACTATGTGTTCATGCTTTCCCTGCTCAGACTGGCTCAGTGAATCCTACTGTTCTGGAAAACAAGAGTTTAAAGGACAAGCATTCCTATACAACAATAATAGACAAACAGAGAGCCAAATCATGAGTAAACTCCCATTCACAATTGCTACAAAGATAATAAAATATCTAGGAAAACAACTTATAAGGCATGTGAAAGACCTCTTCTAAGAGAACTGCAAACCACTGCTCAAGGAAATAAGAGAGGATACAAACAAATGGCAAAACATTCCATGCTCATGGATAGGAAGAATCAATATCATGAAAATGGCCATACTGTCCAAAGTAATTTACAGATTCAATGCTATCCCCATCAAGCTACCAATGACTTTCTTTACAGAATTAGAAAAAACTACTTTAAATTCCATATGGAACCAAAAAGAGCCCATATAGCCAAGACAATCCTAAGCAAAAAGAACCAGGCTGGAGGCATCATGCTAACTGACTTCAGACTATACTACAAGGCTACAGCAACCAAAACAGCA